TTCACTTGTTCATCTTATTCTCTGCCATCTCCTGCCCTCGGGCTTTTTCCCGTGTTGATTTTTGGCTTCACATCTGAATACAAAACTACGTCTTGCCGTGTATCCGGACGTCTGTGTTTCGTCCAGCAACTTTTCCAGTGCAGAACTAAGAGGACACAGGTAAATGAGGATATTATATTGTATTCTTTTTAAATGGATATGTGCGGTACTGTAAATACATTTAAACAAAGTGTGAAGAAAATAGAAACTCTTAATGTAGAAATGAATGAATGAATGAATGAATGAATGAATAGGGAAATTATATAATAGTGTACTTCCAATTACTGAAGTACACTACTGTGCACAGGAGGATCTCACAGCATATACTGTATGTATGACCTGTTTCCAAGTACAGTATGTGTGTGAGAGTATATCAGTGCCCCTGATATACACTACCAATTTGAGGTCTTCTTTGATAATATATATATTATATTTAATAATATAAATCAAGTCAATTTTATTTGTATAGTCCACATTGAAATGAAACTTAAAATATCGTTCAAAAAACATTCAACAGGGAAAAAATGGAGGAGTGTATATTATAGTGCATATTCTTTCAATTGTTTGATTAAAGATCAGATTTAGCAGTTTTGCAACAGGTTAAGCCAACAGAATCTTAACAGCCTTTTCTTTTCCTAATTTAGGGCACACGTGTCAAACTCAGGCCCGGGGGCCAAATCTGGCCCGCAGTGTAATTATATTTGGCCTGCGAGAGCATATCAAATGTGTATTAGAGTCGATCCGCCAGTATATAACCTCTATATACTGACACCCATGGTTTAGGGGAAACACTCTTCTTTCCATCACTAACTCCTATTATTTTAGTGTATTTGTTTTTACATTGTATAATGTACAGTAATATTTACCATTTGTGTAATGTAAATACTTTTGTTCTTGTTTGACAAGCTATCCTGAAACCAGAGGAGCTTCATACAAGCTGCACCTTGTGAGTCAGACACATCATTAGTCAGTGAGGAACAAATGTTGGGAAAATCTATTCTGGGGTCGACATGTGAGGGTGAGGAGTTTCTGCAGTCGTGGGGGTGAGGAGGGTCACCTCAGAGATATGTTACTAACTGTAAAAACTGCAAACAGAAATTCTGTTATCCCATTATAATGAATTGTTTTTTTAATTACATTTGTAAACCTGACTAATGTTTCGACAGCAGTGGTCATCAGGTGCAGAATCAAAGGCAGTTTTTCTAAAATTTATTGAAGAATATTTTTCACTTCCATGTTCCTGCTCCTGCTCCTGCCTGCTTCTCACGTCATGTAAAATCACTGAAATAGCTTCCACTCGTGAGCGTCAGAGGGATGTGCACGCCAAGTCTTAAAATAGTAAGATATGCAGGTCCAGGCTGTAGATGATCACAGTCACTGTAACCTTTTCCACATCATCAGTGTCACATATAGACACAGGTTTTTTTTTTTGTCTCCATCTCTCTTGCTTATTTTGCATTGCTGGGTTAACGTTTAATAAATTCAGTTAAATCTTTATTATGCTATATTAACTATAGGTTTGTTTTAGGTTTGTTAATAGTATGATACTTTTGTCTTCTTTTAGCTGTTTACAAATCTTGGCTAACTGTTAGCTACTTAAAAAAGTTGTCTTTTTGAAATGTCATTATTATAACTCAGACCTGTTACGTCAGTTCTACAACTACCAGCAGGAGGCCCAATAATCTTAAAACCCTGTGGTTTTGAATTGTCATTACACCCTAATTTTTTTCAATGAGTTGGAGTCAGACTTGAGACTGCAACTGGATTTGACCTAACTTTGAAAAAAAAATCCCTCAAGCTTTTCTTTTTTAGTAAATTTAAGGACATCTTTACCTTTTGTAATGTTTCCGTAGCAACTGCCATTCTGGAGGACAAAGCAGCAGTCCAGAGCAGCAGAGGTGATGGAGGCGGAGGAGAGGCCGGTTCTTCAAGCTCCAGTCCTGCTGCTCAATCTCTGACCCTGGAGGAAGGCGCTGGGCGCTGGCAGAGTGACAGTCTGATGGCCGAGTCCTGGTCCACTATGGGCGACGTAGACACAGAGGACGCCAAGAGTCTCAACGACAGTGATGAAGTGCCCAAGAGTGACATGGTCCGCCTGGAACCAGAGGATGTGGTGATGCTGGAGGAGGCAGTGAGGAGAGCAGAGGAAGAGGAGGTAGAAGCTGAGGAGATGCAGATGAGTGTGGTGAGCTTATTAGGTGGGGAAAAGGAGTTGATGGAGCTCAGGGAAGAGGAGATGGAGGAACTCCAAGCCCCAGACACTGAGGGAATCCTGGTGACAGTAGAGGAGACCTACCATGGGAGGGAGCCTGCAGAGTTCAAACACGTGGTTCCTCCAATGGCTCTTCCTCTTCTGCCTATTCTGAAGCTTGATCCCCCCTCCACCACATCTACACCCGTCTCTTCCACAACAGCCTATGAAACGGAGGAGCTGTACGCCGCTCAGGGCCTCCACCCTCCATCTATCCTTGCACCGATGACGGTGTTGCCCACAGTGGAGAAACCATCCATCGAGGAACTCTCAGGACCTCAGCTAGCAACAGAGAAGTTAGAGCCAAAGACCTCCACGCCTGTGATCTCCACAGAGCTGCTGCTGTGTGGAGCTGCTGCTTCAGTCGCCATCATCGGTGTGGTGGCATACGGTGCTGTAGCCTACTGCAGGAAGTAAATCTGAAGAAAATTAGCAACAATTTTGTTTTACCTTATCTCCTGGACTCTGAAGTGCATTTTTTGTTCATTTTGTTTTCTACCTCAGCTCATTTTAGAGCTCCAGGCCTCCGTTTGAAGTTGATTCGTGTGATGTTGTATTCAAATGTATTTTGTCCAGCTGTCACCATCCCACCTTAAACAGAGCAGTTTATTTGTCATCATCTCAGTGATTCAAATTTCTTTATTTCTTTAAAGACTTTCAGTTTAAAAATGAATTCCCTTTTAGTTTCATGAACTGACAAAAACAATGGTCTTTTTACAATTTTCTGGAAATAAGTTCTCAGAAGTGTTTGTCTCAAGTCTGTACTGCACTATTGTTTTGAGTGAGTCATCGGGTCAAACAATGCCGTATTACACCACAGGACGTCGCTGTGGGTCAGCAGATCTTTCAACTGGATTCTCAACTTGGTACTTCACATGTCGTTAAGTACAATATATTTCGAGAACATACGGTATAAAAGAACTTGCTCATCATCGAAACTAGAAAATAACCACATTAGTCCAGCCCTTCACCCCATTCTACACATGTGGTGATTATGTAATGAGCTGTGCCTTAAGTCACCTTGAAAAAAAACCTGAACACTCCCGCATTAAAGACACAAAAATGAGCCCCGTATTGAGATGAAACGGGACGCACTTTGGTCGGTTACCGTGACATTCAAAAATAGTCTGTATAATGTCAATGGAATTGATTAATAACTTTATGAAAATGCCTTATATGAAAACCTTCGGTCAACTTATTCCCAGGCCCTCTGCTCTGTGACCAATGAAATGACAGCACACTCACGTATGACGTTCAGAATCCCGCTTATCTCATTGGTCGACGTACAGTTGCTCGCGAAAAAGATACCGGAAGTCAAGAGACAACTACAACCAATGCAGCGTGGGTGAAAGTGACACTGTTCTACAGCGTTGGTGTCAAATACAGGGAGGAATGGAGAAAAGGAAACTCCTGGATGGAAAAGTGCGCGACAATATCTATAAGGTGGACTACACTGTGTGCCGGTGTACCTTTCCCCCGAGACCAGTGGCATGTATATTATCTGTAAAAACCACTGTATGAGTTGCTGCCACCTAGTGACCTGGAGGCTTGTTATCATTCAAGCATTACAGAAGTGGTACACGTCCAGTGTGCCATATTCCATTGGAAGCTTCTCAGTAGAATAAAAAAATAATAATTATATGTATATATTCTTCACACTGCCACCCCTGCTGGTTGGAAAGGGCAAAGCCACCTGCACTTATATTCTCCACGGGAGCTCAACGGTCAGGAATCAGATGCTCTGGTGTCTTTTCGCTGTCATTTTTAAACGGACATTTTGTGCTCAATAGTGTTACATCTCAGAAGACGATATAAGATATTGGCCTCATAAATGTTACTAAACGTTTTTTTAACGTCGTATTCTAAGAAAACCGTAGAAATTACTATTCTGACATTAGAATGCCAGAACATTGCATACAATACACAACAATTCCACACTATCGTAATAAGTACTGATTTTATCTATATATAACTATTTTTAGCAAAATAATCAAAGGTTAAGAAGCTGGTTTTTGTTTTTGTTTTGTTTTTTGTGGTGTAGGCTCCTACCAAAAACAAACTATTTAACATAAAAATTCCACTGACGTTAATTTGGTGGAAGAATATATTTCAAGGTATGTTACTCCACCGACGTACGTTCATTCTACTAGTAGTAGTACTGTACTTAGGAACTACTTAATTAAGCGGAGCAACATTCATTCACAAACCTTGTCACGACGTGATATCTGGTAGTGCCCCTCCATCAAAGTTTCAGAATTCTTTCAAAATTATCAAATTATTGTGCTGCTTTTATTTATTTAATGAAAAAAATCTTAATAAAACAAATTATTATTTAGAAGAGAAATTGTGATTTATCTTTGTCTTTAACAAAGGGAAAATGCCTCATTTTTTTTTTCTTTCTCACGCTTTCTCCCACTGCACAACCACCATCGGACAGATAGCGGTTATAATTTTGCGGTCACAACAGCTCTGGACTGATAGTCTAATCTCACAGTAGTGGCTTTAACACTTCTTGATTTTCATCTAGTGACAGTAAATAAAAAAGAACAATGGAATGGACTGTGCTGCTGTTCCCACATCGTCACCAACAAACCCGCAGCAATTTAATCCATAAGAGGAAGGAAAGTGCTTCTTTGTTTGTCGAGGTAAAAGCTGACCTTCCATAGAAAAGGCTCCACTTTGACACATGAACACTAATGAGTGCAACAACGTCGGCGACACAGTTCTATCGATACTGTTGTTCTTTTGAAAATAACCCGTTGTTGTTCGGTCGCTCTTAAACATCACAAAAAATTTAAAGCACAAGTTTTTTTAGGAGTTGTTAAACAGTTACGATAAGTCGGTCTTGTTGAATTTTGGACATGGCAAAAAAAGGCACTTTTAACAAAAGATATATACAAGTAGACCCATAACTTTTTGTAATTGTTTTTCAAAAAGCCAGTATGTTGTTTGGTTTTATCACATTACTGGTTTATTATGGCATGTTTTTGGGATATTAATAATAATGGTGTGCAGTTATTGGTGTTTTGCTGTATTTATAGGCAATATTTTATTATTTATTCTATTGTTTTGAAAAAGTCATAGCATGAAATGTTGCATTGAATGCATTTCTCTGTCTAATGCAATTGCATTTTCAGGTCCAGAGAGAAAGACCCAAGATCCAAGTAGTGACAGTGGACAGGGTCAGTTGCTTCTGGTTCCTGTAGATAATGATCGGTGAGAACCTGGGCTGGTTACTACATCTGGATATGATCCTAAAATCAGCTCCACTTCACCTGCCTTCCCCGGGGTGTGTGGACACCAGGATACTCCAAACATTTTAAAGCATTTGAGAGGATGCTGGTTGGTAATCATAACCAAACACCACCTACCAATAAAACCACTGCAAAAGATGAAGGCGGGAATTGTGCCAATGCAAATTAATTGCAATTTAAATGTTCCGCCTGCTTGTGGTTACAAATATTATTCACCATGGTTACAGTTTTTTGTTTTTTAACCAAATTCATAAACATTTTTATCGCTGTTGACTACTCTAAATGTTGTGTTACTCATCAAAACAAAATAAATAGAAATCCTAAATCCTGACTGTAATTTTTTTTTTTATTTTAATGTAAATTTTACATCTTAATGAAAATTAAGGTAATTAAATTTTTAGGCATTTGAACTTTTTTTTTTGTTCTATTATCATACCAGCGCACATTTCTGTGTCCATGTTTCATGTTACATGCTAGATGCATATAGTTTTTAGAACTTTTTATCTTTTTGGTGTCAAATTTGGGTCAAATTTGGATAGGTCAAGGAAAAATATATCTTGGCATTTTTAGCATATATTAACACCTGAGTGCATGTTTTAGGTAATTTCTAGCACATATTTAAACAAACAAATGCCATCATAGCATACTAATATAGGATTATCTGTGGTGTTTTTTGCACATTTTAAATATTGTCACAAATTATGGAGGAGTTTTGTTGATTTTTTGTTCTGCCATTGTTTGCAGAAGGACATCTAATATGGATCAAAATAGGTTAAAAAAGTAATTTCAAAAATAAAAGAACAATAGCACAATAAAACTGATTAGAATGTTGATTTTAAAACATCTTACTAGAAGAAAACATGCACACACACACACACACACACACGTCTGCAAAACCACATGTTGTGGTTTCTTAATTTATGAAATTTTACTCTGAATGGAAGGAGGCAGAGACAGAGTGGAGGGGGTTTACGAGGGTCCGAGGGGGTTCGGTTTCGGCACAATTAGCAGGAAGTGTGCACACACAAACACATGCACATGGACACACTCACAAACACAGAGAAATAAAAACATCAGAAGAGTCTGACTTATGCCTGGGAGACAAAATGAAGGGCAAAAAGTGCAAATCAATCAGGGACATTGAAAATCAGACTCTCGTTGTGGCTGTAACCTGATAAATAATCTGTGCATCACGTCTCTCTTTCTGTGGTGTTTCCAGCTCAAAGTTCAGACCTGAGTCCAAATGCTCTTTAACAAGGCCGAAAGGGGAACTACAGGATCAAGTCAGTTGATATTTAAAACTGCTGGCCTGAGATAAATGCACTTCTCAAAAAGGGACCTGTTTTTATTTGAACAGCCTGCGTGTTTGTTGGAATTGTGGACACGCAGAGTGTGTTTAACCACAGCATTAGCCATGAACCTTTACCATCACACCTACTTAGAACTGCCTGTAAATCACGCTCAATTAAAACAATTATTGGACCTCATTAAATATAATTTGAAAGATAGTAGGAACATTATGCAAATATTTTTTCCAGAGAAGATGACCTATCAAAAAAAGCACTCGAAACTGATAAAATGCAATTTGATAATCAAGTCATAACGTCATCATAACAAAAATTTAGACCAGCGACAACTTCAACAACCTCAGGAGGAATGCCCGTTTAACCATTCTCTTGTTGAGGCCAGATAACACTAGCCCAAGAATTACAATAAGACGTTGTTTTATAGGTAAACAGCTGACATTTGGCCAAACAACACAGATTAGGTAACCAAGAGTTAGCAAAAAGCTAAAAAGTAAGACAAAAGTAAACTAAGAAGTTAGCCTCACAAAGCTTGGAAAACAAACAGCAAAGTGGACATTGGCCACACATGACAGTGAGTTATCTACCGTATGAGCAGAAATAACAGTTTTTTACATTCAACCAAAGGGCCCAGAAACAGCTCAGCTATGTAAATGGTATGCTAATTTGCTAAATTAGGAGCAAAGGCAAAAAATTGAAAATCAAAAAATGTCTTCAAAATATCCACAATGCACAGAATAGCTGAGTTAGTAAAGGTTAGACAAATTCATGAAAGGTTTACAGAACATTAGCTAAGCCATGAATTTTAACTTGAGCAACAGCTGTAATAACAGCAAAAAGATAATAAATCCTTTTTTTTTTTTTTACAGATGAACTTTTACTGTATAAATCCCAGCACTATCTAAAACACTCCTACATGTCACGGCAACGTTTTCGAGAAGGTGATTGGAAGAAAGTGAAATTTTGCAGCATCATCTGTTGCTGCACTGAATGGATACATTAAAGATGTAAATATGTAGATTAAAAACTTGAAAAAAAAAACTCTAGTGGAGATGATGTTTTAAATGTTGCACTGTTGCATAACAAACACCATAAAGGAAACTTCCCTGCACTTCTATAAGCAAACATATCTCATATCTATATCAATGAGGGTTATTACTGAGCAGCATCCATTATTGATGCGTGTGTTAGATTACATACTCTATCTGGGCTCAGTATGCAAATATCATAGTACAATAAAAAAAAAAAGTTTTTTTGTTTGTAGATTGCGATCACCGTTATGGGGCCGACGGTGATGCTCAGATGTGTATCTGATGTGTTTTTCCAGAAAAGAAGAAGTGTGCCAGCAGGAGCGAGCGGTGACGTTAACATATTTAAATTGACCAGTCCTCCCTACCTTTTTAATCCGGCTGAAGGTTAGACAGGTAACTGGAGGTCTGGTCCTCATCTATGTCCAAACACCTGCAGACCTGCACTCAAACGGCTTTCAGCGACCTGGACACAAATGGACGGAGCTGAGGAAAACTCTCACTCCTACAAGATGGTGAGTCTGATTGTGTTCCTTTGGAGAGGAGCCTGTATAATGATGGAAATAAAAAAAAATATGAATAATAACAGAGAATATTTAGTTACTATTAATATTGTTATTGTGAACTTTCTTGCCTCTTCAAGGCGTCCTTGTACACAGATCTCAACCAGCACTTTGAGGACGCAATCGACGTCATTCAACACCATTCCAATAACCCTTATTATGAAACAGGTACGGAAAAACATATGCAATTAAGAAAACGAAATTTGACATGAATCATTTAACTTTTTTATGTATGACCTGGACATTAAACATCTGCATACAGAGGGTTAATCTAGAAAGGTCAGACAGATCAACTTTATTATCTTTTTAATTCATACTAATTAAAAAAATATTCATTAACACACAGCCATGGTGCAGTTACCTTCTTAATGTTTCAGAAAATTCAAGGAAAAAATGTAGACACAATGTCAGTTTTAATATAAAAAATAATTAATAATAATGTTGACATGTGAATAGAAATAATTATTTAGATGATAGTTTAGTAGAAAAAATGAAAACATGTAAAAATTCACTGTTTTTTATAGTTCTTCATTTAGGAAAATAGAAAAAGTAAAGGTAATACTTCCCTTTTTATTTTCATGATGTTGTGATATAGTATGAAGACATTTTTTATCCACATTTCCAATAAACAACATCAACATTTTTACCAGTATTTTGCTCTCAAACCATCAGTTTTTGACCTATGCCAAAATACTATTTTGGTATTGTAGTCACAGTGGTGTACAGCTCCACAGAACACAGGAGCTTTACTCCAAATATAGCCAGCCAGCCATTTCATCACTACTGACATTGGTGATAAAGCAATAGCTGTCTCAGAGGCTTACTTACCACGTGTCTACGTACATATTATATTTGAAATGACATTTTTTTTTTTTTACCTTTTCTCAGAGTACCCACACTATGAACTCCTGGGTCCACAGCACCTGTCCCTGCAGCGTCAGATCTCCTGCTACCTCATCACTCCTCCTCCTGAAGCACCAGCGCAGGTTCATGACTGGAATGACACAGCTGTGAGTGGGTTCTTAGAAAATTACGACAAAAAAAAAGAATGCATCACAATTTCAGGGATACACGACGACAGCATACAAAATGATATTTGTCTCACAGCAGCAGTCCTGGTCTCAGGGCATCCCGGACGTCTCCTTGGGACACTCCCTCCCAGCTGAAGCTCCAGAATTCTACTCCATCCTGCCACCACAGAAGACCAGCAAAGGTAATGTGGAGGTGTGAGATGTTTGTCGATTTTGGAAAACTCAGCAACATATACTACATTTTCTTGACCTCCTCAGGACGTAAGAAGCTCAGACTTTACGAATACCTCCACGAAGCTCTGCACGACCCCGACCTGTGTGACTCGATCCAGTGGACAGACAGCAGCAGCGGCACGTTCCACTTCATCTCCAAGAACAAGGAGAAGTTGGCCGAGTGCTGGGGACAGCGTAAGGGCAACCGCAAGACCATGACCTATCAGAAAATGGCGAGAGCTTTGAGGAACTACAGCCGCACGGGTGAGATCAGGAAAGTGCGACGTAAACTCACCTACCAGTTCAGCCCAGACATCCTGCACAAACTGGGCTCCACGCACGTCCCGCTGCACCTGGAGGAGGTCCGGAGCCAGCAGCACCAGAACCAGGCTGAACAGAGCTACTTCAGCACCGCCACGGACTTGCACAGCTGGTACGGACACTACCACCTGCAGGAGGACTACGACCTGGCCTCCAGCTTCACTTCAAACAGCGCAGCCAAACTCTGAGCTGTTGGTTTAAAAAACATAAACAGATGAGATGAGATTCAGATTTAAATGACACAGAGAGCAAATAGTTTAACAATCAAACAATCAACGCAGAGTAAGAAATGACCCTTTTAAAGGTTTTTTTTCCTGTCTCTGAGCCCCTTAAGATCATTTCCAGGGGCTAAATTTACACGAACCATGCGACCCATATTTCTTTATATATATTTATTTAATTTAAAAAATGCAACACTTTACTGGAGACACTCCAATATATTTTCTTCTTGATTTTTGTTCTTGATAAAGTTACAAAGTTAACTGTATTTTTAAGCTTTAGTGTGAGATTCAAAACTTGATATCATTATAATTTGCTGTGTAAAATAACCAAAGAAGGCGATGACAATATTGAATTATTTATCTCATGTTGAACAAGTTTTTGGTTTTAGGCTTTTTTTTTTCTACTTTGGCTTCTTTTGTCCTATTTTCTATTGGTCACTGCAGATCTGGACTGTAATTCTGCTGCTCAGGCCACAGGTGAACCTGACAAGAAAATTACACGTATTATTATTATTATTATTACACGTCATCATTTCAAATGTGTTTACAATCACTGACGTGCGTGTCAATGGTGGTTCTTAATTAAAATAAAGACTATACAATGTTTCATATTTATTAAAATGAAGTGTATTATTGTGATTAATGTGATTTATGTCTCAAATTAAAATGACCTACTTGATTGTTTTAAATGTCTTGTAGATAATCATGATTCTCTGTAACCGAATTATTTATGTATTTTTTGTAACTGTCGTTGCTGACATTTTAACTGACTCAATAAAAAAAAAACAAAAAAAACAAATGGACAGTGAGGTTGAAAAGTGCTCGTGACAATTTGTGCACAGGGGTGAATTATTACGACAGGCGGTCAACAAAACAGAAAATTAAGACACATCCTGAGAGGAAAAATATGGCAGCAAGTGTGTTTTTCCTGAAAAGAACTGCTCTGCGTGGCGACTGCCTCCAGGCCAGGTCTTATCTGCTGCAGCGGGGAGGATGTGGTCAGTGCTGGGAGCCTTTCTCTGTTGATGGGTTGACTGGTACCGGTGCTGGGGCTGTGAGGGATGGAGGCCATTGTTCCTGTGAGCCCTGGGTAGAAAATGTGTGATGTTACACACAGAGCTGCTCTCCGGTGGGGGCTATAATAGGAGTCTGGGGGCTCGGGCACGTCAAAGTCATTTGGGTGAAATTCTTCCATATTGTGAGGACAGCAGCTCTGCCACACAGTCGGACCTGATGGTAAAGATTCTGTTTATTTTGACATCGTCATAATTAGACACTGTTGATATACAGTTGAGATGTACTTACTCTAATACTGTAATAACACACTCTCACCAGGACACCCAGTCTGATCTGGAGGTGATCTTAGAGTTCCTGGAGGAGTACTACAGACTCAACGCTGTAGGAAATGGTGAGAAAGAATGATGTAGGAGATATGTTAGTTTTAAAATGTCAACAAATATTAACAAAAAATACAACATTACCTCAAGCTTTGTTCAAACAAAAATCAAACCTGCCAGTCCACAGTCGGCAGAATTGTGGTGAATAATTCATGTTTGTAGCTAGAAATCCTTCCCTGCACTGGTGCTAATATCAACCTTTAAAAAATGCAACATGCTGTTTTCACTATATGTTTTCTACATCAACTCCAACCACAAGTCCACACAGGAAATGAACAGTGCTGCTGTCATGTCAAATCATGGTGCAACAATTTTAACGAAGTATTTCTACTGCAACATGTTACAATATTCATATACTTCTGGACTATATTTTTCCGTGTTTTAGATCGTTAGTATAACGAGGGTAGGAGGGGCCTTATTTATCAACTCAGAAGTTTTTATGGTGGTATATTTGAATTGAAAAATTTGGATTTGAAAATATCTTTTTTTAAAGAACATTTAGAACACAGAAGTACAAACTGGAGCAGTAGTTTTGACTAGGACGACATTTTGACTTTTACAGAGGCCGCTGTGTACTGCACTGCACCTATGGAAAACAGACTCTGTGATCAGCGCTGGAGCAGCTGTGAGCAAGTAAGGCAATAAAAAAAGCCATTTTATTTACTTAACTGGTAATTTGTTAAGAAAATAGATGTTTTCTTATAAACAGAAGTAGTTTGATTACCGTAACTATTACAGTAAATTCTGTTTTCATGAGACAGCACATTAGACAATGTCGGGCCTTTACTAGTTCTGGGGCATTGATTGTGAAGTATTGATACTCACACGAGTATTGATTGAGTATCGATTAAGCTCATAAAGAAAAATATTGATACTAATCAATAAATAAAATAAGTCACTTTGAGGGTAACTTACTGGATATAGGCTTTTGTGCTGTAACACACCTATTAATTAAATATAATTAAAATTGAACTGATCCATTCATGTCACGTGACCACTGAGAGCAGTGACTCCCTTTGCCCATTAAACTCTAAACCCTAAATTTAGGTTACATTGTGTAAACAAAAAAAGCAATTTAATTTAAATTTAATCTAATATCTTATCTTGTTATTTATTTCATTATGACTAATATGTTATGAAAATGAAAATTTATTTTAAATTAATTAATATTAATAATTACAAAAAACAAAATTTGGCCAAAAGGTTATCTGTATAATAGTGTGTGCCATGTTGGCAAATCATTAGTCTTTGATTAACCCAAAAATATATGGATTAGACAGTGTCACAGTGTCTTTTTCTAGGACAGTGAAGGCATCGCTGCTTTACTGAGCCTTTGAATGTGTACTGTAGCTTTCCTTTTTGTTCCGATCAAATGGGGAGTAAGACAGCTCCCGTCGGACTGCCGTTCACCTCTGTTTACTTTGTGGCTTTCATGCAGCAACCACACATGGAGCAGTGACGAGGGAGGGCTGCAAAGCAGGTTTTATTATAATTTGGCTCCTATATCAGTTGACGGCCTGGACGCAGGCCATGGGTTTAAGATCTGGGCTTTGTTTTGTCCATGGCAGTTACAACATTTGATCCTATAAGTCAAGTGAGAGACTGTGGTCGCCGGCACAAATGTGATAACCTGAGAGGTTTTTATTGACAAGGGTGAAATGTTTGTTTTAAATGTTTGGTTTAAGACCTCATTCAGCAATTTGTCATTTGTATTTTCATATTATTTATTTAACGCCTTCATTTCCTCACATGTGAAGCCTGCGCCTCAGCCCCTTTTGGCACACGACGTTCCACCAACCCTCTGCCAAAACACAACAACAGCAACACTAGCTGAACATGGGCCGCTGCCAAACTACATATCCACAAGACAAACAAAAAGACACAAGGCCAGAGCAGCGGGGAGCGGTGAGTTCTCCTTTTTCTGGTCACTAGACCTGTGTTATTACTCTGGCTGCTTACAGCCTCAGGGAAACAATACCAATAGTGTAAATAAGAGCTCTTCCCTTTTCTGTAAAAACAATAAAGCTGTGCATGGTTCAGGCCAGTAGTTGTTTTTACTGATCAGATAACAGGTACATCCACAGAATTACCACGGCAGCTAAATACAATCCCACCAGTAGAGTTTTCTTTTCTTTCCCAGACGCCAATTTGCAGAAAATGATTTCCTGTTAGCAGCTCTAACGGCTCTAACTTCGGTGTGTCCCAGCAGCTGGGTCATAAATCCCACTCACTGTTTACTTTCATGGCTGCAGGTAAAAAGGTCAGACTCTTTCACTTTCTCTTTGAGATGCTGGAGGACCCCAGCATGGCCCACTGCGTCTCCTGGGTGGCAGCAGCCGCTGGTGTTTTCCGTTTTTCCTCCACAAACAAAGACCAAGTGGCGGCGCTATGGGGCCAGAGGAAGGGGAACAAGAGGCCAATGACATATCAGAAGATGTCCCGGGCCCTCAGGAACTACGGCAGGTCAGGAGAGATCTTCAAGGTTAAGAAGAAACTCACCTACCAGTTCAGCCAAGACACCTTGATGTCACTGCAGAAGTCCCATGAAGGAGGGCTGTAAATGTTCCAAAATGATCTCTCATGTCCAAATTTCTACATTTATTCCTATCTTTTTTTTCTTCTTCTTTTATCACGATTGTCCCTTCAGTTACTGATGTAAATAATACAAAACAAATAAAGATTGTTTTTCTAGATGGTGAGTTTTTTATGAGAAATGTATTAAAACAAAATATGAGTATTTGACTATTATTATAGAGAGTTAATTTGAGACTAAAATGTATTAGACAAACATTTTTGGTTTCAAATTTTTTTCAAAGCATTTTCAAAGTCACAGAACTTTTTTTCTCTGTTTTAAGTTTTTAACAGCCTCAAACTTTATTCTGGTTCAAATTGGTGCTTGATTTTGTCCAAATTATTACCTATCTGTTTTGTTAACTTGTAACAAATTGGTAAAAATTTTCTTTAGCCACAAGTTTTAGTAGATTTTCCCTTAATTTTGTTCTTAAGCTATACTCTCAAGATACATTTTAAGCATAAGCCTAAGCCTAACAAAATCTGTTAAAATTCATTTTTAATATACCAAATATGAAGTTAAAAATTTGTTAAAATTAATTTTTAATATACCAAATATGAAGTTAACAGATATCCTAATTACTGATACTGTATATATATCTATATTTGTCAAAAGTTTAGCAATGAAGGTTCTAGTGTTCTAGATTTTTATTTTCACCATTCATCCTGTGGCTTTTAGAAAATAAGGTTGTTTTTCTACAGACCAGACGGTGTCAGTGTTTGTCCACAGCTCACAGCTTCAGGTGTCCTTTATTTATATATTTATTTTCCCTCAGACCTGACCTCATGGGTAAGCCGCCCCTGTGATGTGAACTCTGGGCCGTCCCAGGCAACGCCAAATGGTTTTGTGCTCTTTGTAGTGGACCCACGTGATGCCTCCCTAATCCCTGTATTTACTGCTGGAGCCCACTCTAAGTTATAAATGGGGTTACAGAGCTAGAGATGTCTGCTCACCAAGAAAGGCCACGGAGAGTGTTTGAGACCAAACTGTCGTACATCAACCTGGAGATGATTTAACTCTAAAACATGTTATTTCAGTTTGAGGTATAAACTCATGATGGTTCCATCAGTTGCTCTGCATCTTTGTTTACGTAGAACAAACACATGGAGCTGTTTTGGACCGTGTTTTGTCAAAGACATCATTTGTGCGTGTTTCAAGTGCAAGATCGTTATCACCCCCCTGTGCTTATGATGCTGCTGGCTTCACCGGAGAGGTGTTACACGCAGACATAAACGAAGAAGCTTCATTATGATGGTCATAAAAGAAGAATCCATCAGCGTCTGGCCTCTGTTTACTACCTTATCTAAGGATACAACACTTTTTTTTTTTGCCCCTCAGATGTTAAACATCCTAAACAAATATGCCCAAAGCCACTTGCCTGACACAATTCACAACGCCATAAATGACTACATCCATGTCAGATACATACAAATGTCAGGGTTTATAGGGGTTTCTAAGTTTAGGCCATACAACCATCACACAGGCATCTTGTCACGCATTTCTCTGCCAAGTCGAAAAGCCTGTTGGTCTTGGGCAGCTTTCGTCACGGATTAAATTGATATCTGGCATCTGGCATTGCTGCATGCCCGTCATCCCAAACTTTTCTTTTATAAAGCAACTCGAACGAGGTGTTGTTTATTGTCAGATCATAACACGGATTGTTGGAAAGAATGACATCAGTCTCATCACCTGTGACAACGATGACTTGTTTTCCCTTTATATCCCGTCACCTGATTTGCCCACTTCTACAGCGACACAATAACAAAAATAATAACGCCAGAGCCGTCACCTCCGACGGCCCCACTGGCACCGCTGTCAATCATCACAGAAAAGACTAATTTGATTCATGACAATAAGTTTTTTTTTTCTTGTAACAAAACCGTTGACAAGCACAGATTACTTGTTTCTCAAGAGTATCTCAAAAATATTTAAATATAATATTGGCAGCACGATAGACGATCCTGTTTATTTTCCACTGCCTCCCCCTCCCCCCCGCACTGCCCCCACACACACCTAAAATACTGAGAAGAACACTAAATCTGCCACTATAAATAGACCTTACATCTTTTTATATGAATACTAGTACTCGTTATTCTAGTAGTTGCAGCAGTAACAGGAGTATAATCACTTGGAACTGCTAGAACTATTAAGTAGAAGTATGGAACAGTGTACACTCCACGTGCATATTATTTGACAGCCTATCAAGTTGGAAGATGATTTACTTTTCCAGAGCTTCGTGTTGATACATTTCCATCCATTTCTGTTACCGTTATAATAAACAACTAACCTGTTGAGTCACAACAAAGGTTCTAATGTTTCGACTTGTTATTGTTTCTTCTTCAAAAGCTGTCACAGCAGCCAGCGGGCAGGGAACCATGATGCTACAAACAATGTAAGACAGCTCTGCTGTCAATTACAGAGAGGAGGAGCATGCCACCCTTCTATATAAGCCTTTAAGGACTGTCACCCCTGTGTCTGTCACTGGTCCTCCTCTCTCCCCACTGAGAGTTCAGCACTGTATCCCCATCACTGTGGTCTGAAGAGTCCCTGAGGTTTTATCTTTTTTTTTTAATATTATTTTTCTCCACCTTCCAACCATCATCATCACCCTCGTTTTCTATCTTTTGGATTGAGAGAAATCCTGTGGTGTTTCCGACCCTCCCTTTCTTGAAGGTATCTTCCTACCGGCAACTGAAACAAAGCTTTTCCTGGGACACGGCTCAAGATGCCAGAGCCCACAAAGGAGCCCGCAGAGCCTGCCAAGAAAGGTGAGGAAAGATGAGAGAGAAAGTGTAACTGGCATGTCACTGTAGCCAGTTTCTTTTACAAAATTTTGTTGTGGATGAATAAAAGCAGCCAACAGTCCATGAACGGTGCATGGAGCTCCATCCAGAAATCCTCAAAGTGACTTTGACAGTGGTGTTGTATTACTAATGTATGTGTGTTCCCTGGTGGTCGAAGTTGCCACACAATGTTGTTCTGGGTGGTGCAGCTGGAGAACGCGCAGCCGAGGAATGTTGACGACTGTCACTCAAAGACGAGTGAAGGATGATGTACAGTAGATGGGATGCACCGAGTGCTGGACGGACCTTACGAGAAAGGACGTTAACCTTATTTCTGTTAACAAATGGAACCACGGGTTAAACCTCCTCTAACAACAGCTCTAGTTTAAGTCAGTCTTGTCTTAATCACAGCTGCGACCTGACGTTTTATCTTAATCAACATTACCACGTCAATCAACATTCCAGTTTAATCTGTTCTTGTTTCTCAATGCAATATAGTATCACTACCCCACTATCTATGTGACACAGAGATGCCTAAGTAGAGGAAATAGTGGACTTTGTTGGTCTACAATACCTGTCTCCTCCTCTCCTCTCTTTGATCTTATTTGATACAAGCACAGCAAAAACTCTTTATGGTCAAGGTGCCCACATTGCAGTCAGTGCAACCTCAGATTTCTTTGAAAATAACGCATTCTTTTAGATCCTGCCTGCTCCAAAATCCCATCATACGCTTCTCGTCTTTGGGTGCATCATTAGGAAAGTGTTAAAATAAGTGACAGCCAAAGGCAAGTGATTCTTTATGTTCTGTTGATTGTGCGACGTGGTGACGTGCTCAGGTCACCAGTAATCTTCAACTGTCATAAACATCTCTGATCCCCTCAGAGACAAAGCTGATGAGAAATAGAGGCAACAGATTCCTGTCTGCTACAAACCCTGACCAGAAATAACTACAAGGCCCAGACCAGCAGATATATGAGGTTAGAAAAAGTATTGTTCTTTAAATGAACGTGAACAGCTGAAGAGGAGAAAGCCAGCGCTGTTGTTTTAGACACACCAACTCTCGAGCCTTTAAAAAGAACTGAACCAGAGATGACGGACTGGCCCAGGGGCTGGAGGATCTCTTGAGAGAAGAATTCTTGTCCCTGGAATAGTTCAGAATGAGTGCACTTTTAATCCCCATCCCTTGTTCCCTGCCATATTCTTCCGCTGCCACCCCTCCTGCACCACACGCCAAAGCAGACGCCCTCCGCCTACCTTCCATTACGGAGAGATCACTCAGAGGTCACTCATCAACCGTCTGAACCTCTGTCCAGAGGCCTTGCCGTACAATCCTCATTGCTGCTACGTTTTTAGCTTCAGTTGTGCGAAGGCCTATCGCCCTCCCTGGGTTCTGTCCCCTGACGTTGTTTCTTTAACTAACAGAATGTCACCTCATAAATCAAACTGGAGGTGAAAAGCGAAGGGAGAGACCTGTCAGTAGGTAATTACTCCCTGAATCAACTCTCACTCTGCACCCAGACACTCGACGGCTCACAAACGTTCCATGTAATCATTTCCGGACCGCAACAGCATTATAGCAGACGATAAAGGTAAAAAAAAAACACACTGAGAGCAAGAACACTGTCATTAATGGAAGCTCATCTACATCCGATGAATAACGGTCTATATTAGGAAAAACAAAGCTGCCCGCCGTTTGGCTCTTGCCAGAGCCTGTGTGAGCCCTTCTGTCTGCAAGCCAGCAGGGGCAACAGCTGAAAATACCTGCAGCCCTGTCAGCTGCACTGGGAGTTCTCAGAGGTAAAACAAAACCTTTCTGCACTCTCATTATCTCAGCGGTGATGAGACAGAGAATGAGCGAGGCTCAGTCTCGGGTGCATGATGTGACCCTCCAGGATTGCGGCTCAGGGGTTGGCGTACACATTGTTTTGGGGTGAGATTGGAGAGCGGCTAATTTTGACAAAGGAATGCTCAGGGGGAATCGTTACGAATGGAGGGATATCAGGCGCTAAGACGGGACGGGAGAAAATGGGAGGTAGAAATGGTGCAGAGTCAATGGACATACATGGAGTTTGGGCTTCAGTCATGACAGGTCAGCGAGAGGTCGCGAAGAGGAGTGTGTTTTTTCTGAAAGTACAGTAGAAGAAGTAAAATGCTCAGCTTCTGTTTCAGTCGTATCTGTCACGCCAACATTCTATGGCCTCTCTTTAACAACACTTGTGTCTCTCTGGGGAGTGACTCTTTTCTTTTTCCTCCTCCCTTTTAAAATATTTTGTCCCATTTATCCACTTATTTCCAGAATGTCAAAAGCAAATAGGGATGTCCAATATTAACTTATTATATTACTTATATTGTCCAAACATTTAATTTTTTAATTCAGATATCATTCGATACCGATATAGGACTGGTAATATTTATTTATTTATCTGTACAAACCACTGTATGAGTATGAGATTAATCAAATGAGCTGCAATGCTGCCATCTAGTGACTTTCACTTTACTATACAGCCATTTATCCCCATAACTATTTTTAGTGCACACATTGTTTGGCGAAACCTAGGCATTGCGTTATTGAATTTTCATTATCGGAGGAAAAACCGATAATGATTCTTACAGATATTACGAAATATGCTAATATCGGTCGGTCAATATTATCAAATATCCCTACATGCCAGTCGTTTGTTTTTTAACTTCATCCTCAAAACTTGTCAACTTCAAGTCTTTTTCTTTTATTTCAAATCTGTCCATAATGATTGCAGCCTGGATGGCCAGTTTCAAGCCTTTAACTCAGGAGGGATTATTTTCTAAAGAAAACAGCCGTAGAATTGCTGCACCATGATGGTTTGATAAGTCACTGCCTTGAACAAGACCTTGGAGAGGGTTGTGCCAATCTTACATGGCTGGTACAGAGATGCCCTCTGTACCACTACAAACAAATAACATTTATTTTTTTAACCCACTGATTGCTAATGATGCTAAAAACCATGTAACTGCTTTGATCTGCTTCAGTCAGACACAAATCGAGGGCGTGTCTCTGTGTTTCCTATCTAATCATTACACATATAAGTCGCGATGAGACAAAAGGCAAACAAAATGAGTGTCATTGGCCATGACAATAGTAATCAGTTCAGGTAAGTGGTGTCCATGCTGACGAAAATGGCTTTTGAGAGATGAAAAGTTTATCAAATATCATTAAATTAGTTAATGTTCTAAAACAGGATTGTTTTGTGTGAGTTCCTTCAAATCATGTGGAAATGTCCTCATTCTTTTCTGTTTTTTTTTTTTTAGATGAGATGGCCAGCCAAATGCCAAATGGCCAGCCAGAAGGTAGGTGGAAAGAAATACTGTCATCCACATTCACCATCCTCATCACCTCACAGTTTAGAGAACTTGGATTAGAATGCACAGATTGTATTACAAGGAAATCAGAAGAAACCATATTACAAGGAATTATTACAAGGAAATCAGAAGAAACCATAATACCCTTGGTGCACGGCCAAGAAAGATCACACGGGCACAAGTCAAAAACTGAACACCTACCAGTCACAATTTGGTGTCAACGTGCAAACACAGTCACACAGGGAGTGTAAATGTGGAGGCATTGGTCAGCAGTATGGATGTGCTGATGTGCTGCGGAGTGATTCACCGTGACGACCGAGCTGTCGGCGTCAGCGACATTCCTCCTGCCTCCCAGCTGATCCGTCCTTGTTGATTCAGCTGACGCTCCCCCTTATAAACGTGAGCAAAGTGCTGGTGGCTGCGTGTCAGCGTTAGGGCTCCGACCTTGGAGCTGCAGCATCTCCAGGCTCCTACAGTTTGCGAAAAAAAAATCAGTGATTGTGTTCGGTTTAGATAAATATGCCACATACAATAGCTGAAAGCATTTCAGAGATTGACAGGGAGGTTAAGAAGTAAGAAATATTCAGTTACAGATACATTCCTGACGTTCATAGGTTCTAATGGTGTCACTGTATATGTCAAGAAAATGCGACCAATCACCAGGTGGCAACAGAGCTGAGTAAACATATGAAACGTCGGTATGATTTCAGATTCAACTGCTAGTTTCAGCCTCTGCCTGGTGGAACATGGGACTTGTTTTGTAAACTGCAATCTCAGAAAAATGGCCGAACCCACATTTAGTTTATTTGTATATTTAATATTTAGGTAATAATAATATTGTTCCTTACAATGTTTTCAAAGGCAATAGACCACTAGCAAAATGTTAGACAAATAATAAAAAGTCAATGGGACCAATAGAAAAAAATGTATAGTGGATGGGAAGCAGGCGTTTTATTTGTCCTAAACTGAACAAAGTATTAATGATAATAATATCAATTACTGTTAGCACATCAATGGGACCTATTTTTTCCTGGGGATCATACAGTATGTTGTGTGTAAAATCTGTTGTACGGCACATGGTGATCATTGTTGTCAGTGTCTACAAGGATGCAGGTGGGTGTGTGTGTGTGTGTAGAGGTGGTGTTTTGTGTGTTCTTTCTGTCCGTTGGTGAGTGTAAGGCTGAGATACACCGTGTGGAAGCTAAAGCTTTGTGCTTATTAAAAGCAGCTCTTCCATCCACCACTGTATATTTGTCACATGTTCAGAAAGTGTTGCCCCAGAAAGTAACGGTGCTCCACCCCTACCTGAGATTTCCCTGGAGGTTTCTCCACCGCCAGGTTGGTAATAACGGATGGAACCCCCAAAAACCCTGCTCACTCCCACCCCTCACTTTCCACAGAATTTTTTGGGTCTTATTACACAACACTCTGACATCACTGGTTTGTTTTGGTGTGTGCGATCACGGTTTTCTTTGTTACTCAAATCACTCTGAGAGGCCTGAAACTGCACTTTTTCTTGTGGAGGGATATGGTTTTGTTGAATACACGGTATGCAAATGTTCAGCTGAAGGTTGAGTATAAGCATGACAGCCCTACTGCTCTGTGTGTGCTGTTCGTCTTTGCTGCTGTGCACTGATGTTGATGCCATGGTGTGATTGAATACAGAGGAGGGACTGAAGAAAATGGGATTTACTGAAAGTACGTTAAAAAAAAAGTATGTGATTAGAATCAATAGACATAAAAAAATCATAAGAGCAATTATTAAAGAAAATGTAAAGTAAAAAACATACAGTTACTACAATTGTATTTTACTTTAAAGTTTGTTTAATAATTGCTTTTGTTTATGTTAAATAAATAAATGACTATTGATGACTTTTTAGAAATTGATAACTGAAATAAATGACGTAAAATTATTTTCTAGAGTTTTGAGACTTTTCTGTAATAAAAAAATAATTTCATTTAAATTCACGTGCAAGTCATTAAATCCACATATCTTCAGTCACACGTATAGATATGCTATGACCAGATGGACAACCACTTCTGTCCTTTGACCACGTTGGCTCTCTGGTCATTTTATTGTTATACCCTCCTCCCTTGAGCAAGCCTTTTCTAGCTCGGCACTGTCATGCCCTTGTTTGTGCTCGATGCTTGCTGCTCCAGCCTAGCGCTTTGTCTGCTGTACAGAGGCGGTAGCAGAGGGGAAAGACCCAGTAGAGACTGTTGGGAAGAAACCACAGCCCCCAGAGCCTGAGCCGTTACAGGCTGTGATGGCTCCAGAGCAGAGTCACACTGAGAACGGCTCGAACCAACCGCAGCCTGCTGAGGCTGAGGTGAACGAGCAGAAGTCCACTAACTTTGCAATAAAAGAAGAGGGCCATTGCTCTCCCCCAGCAGATGGTAAGTGTTTAACAATGACCTCCCCACATGACCCCTCTCCCCTCCACTCAACTGCATGCTTTTCAACATCAGCAAATGCATTGCTAATGAAAACAGCATCCTACATTACATGAAACCTGGATTCATTTACTGCAGAAATCTCCTGTGTAATTTTTCACTTCACATCTAGTCATGCATTCATCTGGTTTTGTTTTTTTTAAATCATTGTATTTGGCTTTTACAGCATGCAACTTAGAAAGTTCAAACTGGAAATGAATAAAGATCCACTAAATGTTAAAATGGTTGTACATTACTGATGCAATGCAGAGCTGGCAACGATAAATTGATACAATTTGAGTCAGAGGTGAGTTATTTGTTTAAGCAGTGGTATGAGTCTGATTACCCCTAATGTAGACAACACAGTACAGTGGTCCCTCGTCTACTGCAGGGGGTTACGTTTCAAGACCACCCCGATAAGTGAAAAAACACGTAGTAGAGATGCGATAGTTATTATATTATTTAGGTCTATATTAACCCTTTACGAACCCTTTAGGACAGTGTTTCCCAAACTTTTTTTCTGGGCACCGATATTTTAAAAGTCACAAACCTTTGGGACCCACGTCAATAGACATTATCCGTAAACTCCTGGGAAACATGATGTGAGACAACCCAAATAAAAATCTCATGTGGCCCACCGAAGGTCGCGATCCAGTATGAGAAACAATGCTTTAGGAGGCATCGTAGGACGTGAAATATGGCAAAAACTTAACACAAATCTCGTTTCCCTTACGTACAGGTTATTTCTTGCAATACCCTGCATGTATGTGTTAAAAAATGTCTTTTAATTTATTTTTTAACCGTTTTTGATATTAGGCTAGAAAATGCTTATTTCATCACGAAAATAATGAAAATATTGGAAATTTAAAAATGTTAATATACTGCAAAAACCTGTAATTTGGAAAAATTTGCGATATATGAATACATTTAAATTATTAAAAACTTGCGATGCACTGAAGGTGCGATGGCCAAACCGCAATACAACGAGGGACGACTGTATAACACACCATAACAACCACAGCTTGTACAACCAGACTCCTATTGGCCACTCCAGCTTTCATTCTCCCCCAGTGGAAAGTCTATGCATAATCTTCATCAACCAGAACCTGCAGATAAATGTTGCATGTCACAGCCACTGTACGTCTGTCTTGCATGACTTGGCAGTCTTGTGTCTTCTTGGCCTGTCAGTGTTGGAATTAAGAGCTTTTTGACAGGTGGGTCTCTTTGTCAATGACACTTTTATTGCAGATGATGTTGATGTGAAAGCCACTACCCAATCCCCAACACCCAAAGAAGGTTGGTACCCTTAAAAGCCCTTCATATTTCCGAATTTCCAAAGGGTTACGGTGGAGCACTAGGAGTTAGTTTAGTACAAATGAATCAAGTTGTGCTTTGAAACGTAGGAAAGTAAAAATTTTGGTTGAGATGAAAGATCATCTGTTTTAATGGGTGTGGTCGGAGACAAGCAACTAAAGACATGGTTGAATAAAATATGATTTTTTATGTTTGGGTATTTAACAAGTTATCTGTCATTAATGTAATTCTTCTGTATTCAACATGTATGAGAGCTCAAACATACATGTAGCAAATGTGTGATAACTTGATGCTAAATGCAACATCCACGGACATCAACCTGTATACACTGTGTATCAAATGAAGGTATGAACGCGACAATGTTATTTAACATGTTCCCCCATACATTTAACAAATATAGTGCTGACGTTTGTCTTTATGCATACATTTAAAAATATCTGCTCCTCATTTGGATATGTGTGAAACTCTCTAGAACTATGACATGAAACTGACTTTAGTTTTCTACAGTATGGGGCAGAACTTTTTTTTTAAATGGCACATAGAAAGATATTGCAAATCAGGTGATAAAGCAAAAATTAATTTTAGTTTAAATATTGTCGTAATTATTATTCATACTTTTAAAATGTTCTTTCTTAAGTTGCTGAATTTGTTGGTTTTCATTCTAATGCATATTAGGACATTTCTGGAATTTACTAAAATCATGGATGTAGGCTCCAGATGAAGTCACTTGGGAAAAAACTGGAAGAAAACATTTAAAATTTACAAAAAGAACTCTTTAAAAGTACACCCTGTAAGAGTTAGCAATACCTTGTGCTAAAGTTACGTGTTGTGCTAAAATATCTGTAATCTCACCATTTCTTTCGAATGAATATTGGAGAACACATTACATCAAATAAATGTAGATTCCCTGCCGACACTCCTGTCGCTGCATTTACATTCTTAAGAAATCTAAAAGCATATTGATGCAACTCGGCTTTTCTAGAGACGACGCTTAACGATCCAGCAGCTGATCAGCTAAAGAATTTCTGAAGAGAACATTCGACAAAACCTAGCAGACGAGTTAATCCTGATTAACTGCCATGATGACTGTGCTTTCTTTCACAGACCAAGCCATTTTGTGCAAGAAACTCTCAGTCGATCTTCCTAGTAAGACATCTCTGTTAAATCCATTAATTCCAACCAGACTCTAGTCAACCTCTCTCAGTGTCGCACTTTCTAAACTTTCTGTAGGAAACATGTTGAACACATGTTTAGTTTTAGATGTTTTGGTGTGTCTCCAATTTAGCCCTATTCAACACAAATAAATGAAAAAGTGCAATCTGTATGTCTAACATATTAATAATCACTCATGAATGCACCTACAGTGCATTACTTATATTACTTACTCATATTTATTCATAATAATGTTTTTTTGCTCCCTGCACACATAAATTGCCATTTATGTGATTACATCTGGAATTCCGATCAGTCATATCTGAAATTTAGCTCATTTCGTTTGGTCAGTGTTCAAAATTCAGTCCAAAATCACAAATAGCTTAAAAATTCAGGTTGACTTTTGATTCAGAATTCCGCTGGCCGATGCTTGGAAATCTTTAACCGCTTGCTAGTGAGTGTGTGCTTGCTTCAGTGGACTTTACAGTACTATTCTTCACAATATGCTGTAAATTTCTCTTTGTCTCTGCTCAGATGATAACGTCCCTGTGTCAGCCATGGGGAGAAAAGACTCAGGTAATAAAGCGTCTGTGGAAAAAGTGCGACTCCTACATGAAATGTGTGATTTTTTTTTTCCAACTACTTCAAGAACTTTTCTCTAAAGTACATGTTGGGTTAAATGAAACTTCGTTCCAAGTATTTTCAGGTTGTGTAATACAGTGTTTCCAAACCTTTTCTGAGCCACGGCACATGTATATCATCAGGAAAAAACCTTCTGCACACCACCAAACAAAAATCTCACATGAAATATAATTATTTTCTAGTTTAAAGGACCTCATAATTGACTAAAATCTCGGCCTGTTTAGATATAAACAATGCTGATCTACTGGCAGGAATTGAATAAAGACACACACAAAGATCTTTAACAGCTCTCACTTTTTCTTTTTCTTTTTTTAGCTTTCCACCTAGCAGAAGCGTTTTTAATTGTTTTGCCTTTAACCAATTGAGGAGCAAAGACAAAAAATATACAATAAATAAATAATAGTTTCAGCCCAATTAAGTGAAATTGGATAATTTTCCACGGTACACTGGTGTGCCATGGCACGGTGGCTGGGAATCACGGGTCTAATAACTGTTAGAACATTTAAAAGGCTTCTAGACATAAGTGACCACAACCTACATAAGTGGAGTGTATTTGTCTCACATTTTCACCTCTGGGATTTCACAAAAAAGTGGAGCATCAAAAAAAAAAGAAAAAAAAAGAATTAATGATTTCTAAAAATGTCCCTGCTGTGTTTATAAGCCCATTCTGTGTTTCATATTTCTCCTCCATGCTTTCCATGTTGCCAAGAGCTTAGATACTGCTGCAGCTGTATGTGGTGTGAATGATGAAAGTCAGAATCTTGTCTTTAAGTCTTTTTGTTCGTCTGTGTAATATTACTCTGGTTGAGACTTGAACCTTAAAATAATACACAAAAGGTGGGTGTGTCAGCTATTTCTATAACATTCTAACACAATGATGGCCGGTGTCATAAATACATGTGTTTTTCTGACTGAGCAGTGTGGTCTCTGGGAGACGGCCCAGCCCCAGAGGAACTGGACAAGCCCATTGACACCCCGCCACTGTCCATTCTGCTGATAGAGAAACCTCAGAGTGGCTCCATTCCAGTTGGTGAGTCACAGCAAAATGAGAAGGCAAAAACCAGTAATACTGTAATGGACTCACAAACTCAAAGGCAGCCTCTGCCAGCTTCACCATTGGGGTTGGACAGAACTTGGTGTCTAAATGACAGGACTTCAAACTTCAAATTTCCGACCAAGTTTGGGGTATTTTTCAGTCCATGCAAAATTAAACTGAGTATTTTCATTATTAATTTGCTTTAAATGTTATAAGGACCCCTTTTAGACTGTTCTGTTAGCATTGGAGTCTGCATTACTAGCAGGAATATAAAAGACAGACACCAATAACAGAGTTTAGTTGTAAGCAACTGGACTTCTTCTTAGAGCTCGAAAGACGTTTTGTTCCTCAACTGAGGAACTTCATCAGTTTCTGGTTGATGTAAGAGGGAACACTGGTAGTTATGCTTCTCTAGACCACTCCCTTCTCTGCTTGACAAAGGAGTCACATGTCAAGGTGTGAAGAGTCGTTATGGTCACACCTCCCAAAAGACAGATACCTGCATCTGATGGTGATGGTGAACGCTCTAGACCATTTTTTTGACCAAGATGTATTATTACAGTATGTCATTTAAATAAGCAATTGGTGAAATGAAAACTTTGCATTCAAAGGTGGAGACATCAACTTTGTTGCCAAAGTGGAATGCAAAGATCTCCTCCGCAAACCCACTATCAAGTGGTTCAAAGGAAAATGGATGGATCTGGCCAGCAAAACAGGCAAACACTTGCAGCTCAAAGAGACGTTTGATCGGATCACTAAGGTACTGACCTCTACGCACTCCCTACTGTTTGTGATGGGTGAGAAACACGCTATATTTAATGTGTGCTATTTTTAAACTTGCCCCTGCTTATCACCTGCTGACAGATTCACACGTTTGAGATGCACATCATCAAGGCCAAAGAAAACTACGCTGGGAATTACAGGTGCGAGGTCACGTACAAGGACAAGTTCGACAGCTGTTCCTTTGACTTGGAAGTGAAAGGTTTGGAAAAGCAACAGTGTTAATTAAAACACCAGGGACGCAGTACAGTATGAGACAAACCTGTATATTTTTCCTGTATTACAGAAGCTGGACCAGCTGCCCCGAGTATTGATATTCGCTCAGCTTTTAAAAGAAGGTAATAAATAAAAAGTGATGTGACTACAAGATTGGGATAAAGTCAACGGCATCTACTTTGGATTCAGGATTCAAAACACACATTTCCTTTCAGTAATATTAGATTACAACAATTACAATTACATTGTAATGACAACCACAATAATTACATTAACCTTTGGTAAATGTAATTATTATACCCAGCTGACTTTTCAAGGCCAACACGTGTTTTTGATCTCCTTACAAACAATGGAAAGCAACTTAAAGCATCCCAGATTCACTGCATTGCCACAATGTTGCTGCTCACACCTGTGGCTCAACACTGTGGCAATAAACCCTGGGACAGCTCTTGATGCGTCTTACACAAATCACCTCACTTCAAGCTCTTATTCTCAAAAGGGCGAAAAAAGGTGGGGATTTGTGTAAGCATCAATTGTGTTAGCGTAGAGCTAACACGTCTATTGATATCAGAGTCTTTGCTTTGTGTTGCTCAGTTAGCATTGTTTCCTAGTGCCAGTTACTAGTTGACCTCTGATTAAATCTTTATTAATCTCTCCCTGTTAACAACAGCAGTGAAGGACAAGACGATGCAGGGGAGCTTGACTTTAGTGGGCTCCTTAAACATAGGTGAGAATCCCATCCTCAGTGGATTATTTTTTAATTTTGGATGTGCCTCTTTCTATAAAACCTTCATAAATTTAGTGTGTGTCATTCTACGATGGCAAGCACATCTCATAATATCATACATAAGCAAGGCAGCAGCAGGGGTTTTCAAAGTTTAGTATTTTTGGCTTTGACAGATTAAATCAAATTGTTTTTTTAAACAAATAGAATATACATATTCTTTTACCAAATCCAAAAAGGCTAACTAACCACATAATGTATGACTATTTGGCAAAAATAAATAAAAAAACCCTTTACAGGAAGACATTCCTTGCAGAGTGAGCCCATTTGACGTATACAGATGGATCATCTGCATAACATTTGACATTTATTGTCCAGTTTTGATATTAATGCAGAAAACTTTGCATAACTTAGTTTATGACCAAGCATCTACTTTTGTGTATTAGTATTTTACATAGTTATTAATTTGTCAACAACAAGAAAATCATAGTTTTATAGTTTTATATTTTTTTATATAGTTTTATATATAGTTTTTGGGGAAAAAAACTGTAGTCTAGTCTAATTTAGTGTTAATTTATATAGTTTTTGAAAGTTTAAAAAAAACCGTAGTCTAGTCTAATTTAGTGTTAATTTGCAACTGCTCATATTCTCTTCATATCCTTTGCCTTAAAGTTTGAAAACCTCTGCAATGCCAGAGCTACTGTAGTGCTTCAAACAAACTCCCTATTTCATTTGTGCATATTTGAGATGCTAGAATTCAGTGTTTACGTGTCTAAGTACAAAACATGTAGGCAGTGGCATTTCTTTTATTTTGGGCTTGTCTCTTCTTCTCCCCTACATATTCAGAAATCAAAGGTTAGTACAGAGAAAACCTAATAGGGTTTTAAATGATTAGACCTTACTTTGGGTGAGTACTGTAATCCTGTAGCGTGCCCAGCATGACATGTAGTTTTAGGAATTGGACCAGCAAGAGTGTTGGCCTTCTGTAGTACGGTAACACTTCATTTGAAGGCAGCATTCTTAACTGCTCTGACAGCAATCAGTGATCATGGAAATGGGCCTTGCATCATAAACAGCCTGTGGCGACTGCTTTATTCCAGCTTCTAAAGCATGTGCAACCTTTTATGAGGCAAGCAGCGCCGTTTCGGATCATTACTGATGTGCTATTGAGCGGGCCAATGAGCAATGATGCTGTAAAATAGTGTTATCGCTACATTGTCGTTTTATTTCAACTTAGAAATATAAGACAAAACTCCACCGTGTTTATTTTCGCCTTCTTGGTAATTGCTTGAAAATAAACGAATGAGAAATACGAGCAGAAACTTGAAAAATACTCAATGCTATTCATCTCCAATCTTTCAGACATTTGAATGATGTCATTGAAAGACTGACTGAATGTTTTTTTTTCTTTAAATGAACTAATATACAGTATAGACTCATGTCCGGGACAATGTCTCCTCTAACATATTAGCAAACAGCTCTTTTAGTCACAAACATCTTCTAACAGTGTCAGAGCATCTGTGAAGTGATAAAACCAACCAATAATGAACAAAGGGATGGGCCAAATCAAAGCAGAAAAACAAAAAAGACAGAAAAAGATTCATAGAGAAAGTGTTTGCTTGTTTGTTTGTTTTTTTGTGTATGTTACTGGATTCTTTAAATCGATACATGGTGGTATCACAGAAATACTCTTCTGAACTGAGAACTGAACTGAAAAAGACAATACGATCTAAAAGCAATTACAAGTAAAGAAGGTTGCAGGTTTTTAACTTTTTTTGTGTTAATATGTTTTTGTAAAGTAGCGCCTTTATATATCAAAAAATTCAATGGCCACCAATGTAGCATGAACTCTACGTATCAACGGATCACACTAAATGTAATGTTGAGTAGATCCTGACATTAAGAGAATGACCCTTCGGGCTTATTTATATTTTGTTTTACAAAAAAACAGAACTTGACCATACAGCAATACCACATTAATATATGACAATCAAGAAGCCCATCCCTTTGTGCGACATGTTCTGAGGAACCCTCTCCAAGCAAGAGAATAAGGTTAACGATTGAAATATGGACTTGGATTCTGGTGGTTGTGTCGGAAAGCCAAAAATGTAAATAACCTACCTTTTGCAGTTTTTCCCCATCAGAGTGGTTCCTCAGGGCACGTTGCAAACAGCAGTCTTTGACAGCTCTGCTCACATTGTTCCTTCCTGTATGGCACCACTAGGGAGCCACAAAAGCAGGATGACACTCCAGAGATTGATGTGTGGGAGATCCTGAAGAACGCTCGACCTGATGAATATGAGAAGATTGCTTTTATGTATGGCATCACTGACTTGCGTGGTCTGCTGAAGAGATTGAAAAAGATCCCAAGAGAGGAGAAGAAATGTGAAGGTAAGGGTTTCGGAAAGGAAAATATTTGACTTTTAGGAAGTAACTTGCATTGACTTTGATTGTCTGCTGTATTTTAAGCTTTTGCAAAGAAGCTTGAACCAACTTACCAGGTAGATAAAGGTGGAAAGATCCGGTTGGTGGTGGACCTGGCTGATCCCACTGTTGATCTGAAGTGGTACAAGAATGGTCAAGAAATTAGGCCTACACCCAAGTATGGAATTACATTTTCTTTTGCATATTTTCTTTGTTATTTTTCCAATTATATTTATTTTTGTATATATTTTCTTTGTGCTTTTATTTGTAAATGCATTTCTTTTACTTTTCTGCTATTATGTGTTTTTTTAACTGTTTTCATACAAAGGCAGAATGGTTCATCATTTATAAAAAGATTTAAAACATACAAAAACCTGAGGGTTTTTGGTTTTAAATCAATCATTTGCTGTACTGTGAACCATTGACAGTTGATGTCAGTGAATAAATAACAATGCCTCGACTCGAATGTGGCTCCAATCAGCCTTCTACAGTCTGACGCAGACACACATTGGTCATTACTGTAGGAATTCATACGGCTGTTTATGAGCTGCATTTGGGGGAAAAAACAGTGTATGGCGATAATAACTGCTGTAATTGTCCTACTTTGTACAGGAAAAAGGTGATACCTCCTTCACAGGTCTTTAACAGAGTCTGACTTTGAAACAGATATTCAAGGAGCTAAATGAAATATTAAGATTCCTATTTAAGATACACTTACTTTAGTGTCATCTACTCTATTTCTTGCTATAAGTAAGTGATCCAATAGGGATTCAAGCCAAATTATTAAAATTCAACATTTAACATCATGCACTTAAAAGGATCAAATTTACGAAAAAACTTTTAGGAAAAGCAGTACTGTGACAATCTTAGGTGTAACCTGTAATTTACATAATTGAAAGGTTTTCATTTGGTGGTAAAGTTGCCACTTGTTAGGACAAACCATAGAAAATTACTGTAATAACCTCAGTATTTTATTTAAACTTATTTTTCCTCCTATTTTAGAGTAATTTAATCTTAAAGAGTTGGTCCGCCACCATTTCAGTTTTTAAAACATATAGTGAGTATAATATTACATTTAGCAACTACCTGGCAAGCCTGTTCCACTTAGAGTTGGTGGTAATTAAAAATTAAGCTGAAAGTCAAACCAGCTAAATTACGTTACTGAGAACTAAAAGTTCTGTTCGAGGCCAGTCAATGTTAAAGCCATTTGGGAGGATATTGCTGTTTTCTGGTGTTGCTCATCTATGGCATACTCTCCAGGACTCCCAGTTCTTGAGATCTTGTTATCAGTCACTGTCTGTTGTATAACACTAATGTTGACTACCAGTTGTACCTCCAGGCATGATGTCTCTCTGTCTTTGTCTGTCTGCCTAATATCATGGTGATCCTTCCCATCTGTGGCCCTTTCTGACTCAACTGCTGACCTTTAGTCAAAGAAAGTAAGTTTATTCTGATGGTCAGTTCTTGCTTAATCATAGTAATTGTTGATTGCATTGGCTTTGATGCAGGTTCGCTGCTCAGGGATGATGCTTTGTTTTCAGCTTAAAGTTTTGTGCTTTTGCATTTACCTGTCTCTTCTTTCATTTTTTATTTGCTACATGCCCAGTAGTTTTGGTTGATTAGAAATTTAACTTGTGGACATTCTATATAGGTACATCTTTGAGCATAAGGGCACACAAAGGATTATGGTCATCAACAACTGCACCATGAATGACGATGCGGCTTACTGTGTAGCTGCAGGAGATGAGAAGTGTACAACCGAGCTCTTTGTCAAAGGTATCGCATCTACAGCGGATTAAGTTCAGGGCAGATGGAAGTGTAATCAATCACTTCCCAATCACTCAGTCTAATCAAACTTCATTATCATCCTCCTGTGTTGTCCCGCAGACGTCACTCAGTCTAATCAAACTTCATTATCATCCTCCTGTGTTGTCCCGCAGAGCTGCCAATTAAGATTGTCAAGGGTATTGAACCTGTCAAGACTACGGTGAATGAGAGAATCGAGCTGGAGTGTGAGGTGTCAGAGGAAGGTGCTCAAGTCAAATGGTAAGGATTCAACTGTCGTTTTTAAAGTGCATTATGTTTTCACATACTGTATTAGACAACTCCCTGAATAATTTATTTACCTAGAAATGTATAAGTTACACTGAAGTACACTGTTTGGGAATATATTTTTCATGCAGGATGAAGAACGGTGTTGAGGTTCCAACAGGGGTACGCTCCAGATACCGAGTCAAGTCTGAGGGCACCAAACATTATTTAGTTATTGATGATGCCTCCAGGGAGGACACTGGGACATACTCTGTCATGGCCAGCGGTGGCACCTCTGAGGCTCATATACAAGTTGACTGTATGTCCAGCCATCTTTTCTTTTAAACGTTACTTACAATCCTGAAATGCTTTTAAGCAAAAATTGCATTGACTATTGACAATATGTTTTGTTTTTTTTTGTCTTGCTTCCACAGTAAAGCCACTGAAGATCTACCAGGACTTACAGGATATGACAGTCTTGTTAGGTCAATCCTTCAAAATGAACTGTGAAATCTTCCCAGGCAATGTCCCAGGTCGGTGGTACAGGAATGGACAACTGATCCAGCCCAATGACCGTATGAATATAATACACAGAAATAAGTATGTAGATACAATAAAACAACAGACAGTTGACGGAACGTTCTACCAGTTGATAAATGCAATGAATTTGTTTTTTCAGGATCCACCGACTGGAGATTGCAGCCAGCTCTCTCCATGATGCTGGAGACTACACTTTTGTGCCTGAAGGATATTCACAGAGCCTCTCTGCCAAAATTCACATCATCGGTACTAAACTGTTTCCAAGGCCAGGTCTTTTGAATATCTGTGTCAATCTGTTTACTATCCATTTTGTAATCTAAAAATCTATCTTCAAAGACCCACCAAAGGTCCACTTGGATAGCTTAAATTTCCCAGACAACACTGTGACCATTGTGGCAGGAAACAAACTTCGCTTGGAAATTCCCATCAGTGGAGAACCAGCGCCACGAGTTGTGTGGATGAAAGGAGAACGAGTAAGCTTAAGTCTTAAACTTTTCGCAAATGTTACCAAAATTCTGCAAAAGACAAAACCACAATGCATTTGGAGTGATTCTTTAAATTTTCATTTGAGTTATTGACGTTTTGAAAACAAAAACAAGCTACTTCTGTGTAGTAGTTTCACAATTACGTATTTTACAATGTTTTAAGCTCAAAGGTAGATAATTCTGTCTCTTCTGTCAAAGGTAATTCTTGATTCAGGCCATCGTGTCCGAGCCGAAACGTACGGCGATCAGACCAGCCTTACAATTGAAGTCACAGAGCGAGAGGACACAGGGAACTACAAGATAGTACTGCAAAATGAAGCTGGTGAAGCCACCGCTTGTGTTAAAATCAAGGTTGTAGGTAAGACATTTAAAAGTAAATTAAGATTAAACCAAGAAATAACTATTTTCTTGAATGCTCAGTATACGATTTTGGTGTCCGTAGACATTCCTGACCCTCCAGAGGCTCCAGTGGTCCCAGTGGTGGGTGGTGATTGGTGCTCTATGATATGGGAACCACCAAAATATGACGGAGCTTCCCCAATATTAGGCAAATATTTGTCGATCACTATCACATATTATGTTGATGAGTGGATTTAACATGTTAAGCTCCTGCCTTCTACTGTACAGGTTACTTTATTGAGAGAAAGAAAAAGCAGAGCTCCAGATGGATGAGATTGAATTTCGACTTGATAAAAGAAACATCATTTGATCCCAAAAAGATGATTGAAGGTGTGCCATATGAAGTCCGGATCTTTGCTGTCAATGCTATTGGCGTGTCCAAGCCAAGTGAACCATCCAAACCCTTTACGCCCCTTGGTGAGTTGTCCATATGTCTCCATTTAGTCACCACTGAGGTTCCACCTCATGTAGTGACTAACAATGAAACAAAATGGTCCATTAAAACACTTGGCAAGTAGATGTGTTTTTGTTATCTACCCTTGCTAGCTTAGCAACACAGCTGTTCTTCACCATTTCCCATCAGAAACATTTCTGACTGTGTATCATGCTTAATGCACTAGAGCTTTAGAAGATATCCAATGTGTCTTTATAATGGCCGTCAAATTGTCTGTGGATTAGAAGTTTATAAATGCAGGTCTGCCAAAGGGTTCAATGGGAGTTAAGCATGATTCACATTACAGGAATATATGGCAACAGGGGCAACTATTCAGATTTGTTAAAAACAGATTGATCCCATACTAGTTTGAGATCGGCGCCTTGCTCTTATCCTTGTGATTAACTACAATGGATGTTTCACTTCACATTTCTATCTTTGGTTATCAAATTCCGACTTCTCTCATCGTCTAGCTGTGACAAGTGAGCCAACTATGCTAGTTGTGGACGATGTCACTGACACCTCAGTGACTGTTAAATGGCGCCCTCCTGAGACTATTGGTGCTGCTGGTCTAGATGGATACATCGTGGAGTACTGCGTAGAAGGAAGTAAGTCAACCACTAATATCCCTAAATACTGCATTATTATAGAGGTACTAGCCCTACAGAGTTTGTTTTACAGAAACTGTAACTCAACAAGTGTCTTATTCTAAAACAGCTGATGAGTGGATATCATCTAACAAAGAGGTCACAGAAAAGACCAAGCACACTATAACCGGTCTAACCCCTGGCTCTAAAATCCTAATTCGTGTCAAGGCTGTCAATGCTGCTGGAGAGAGTGCTCCAAAGACTCTACAGCACTCCGTAATGGTCAAAGAAGTCATTGGTAAGCTTTAGGACTTTGGGCTTTGTATTACTGTATATGTTTTGGATAACAATGGTAAATAGATATTAATAAAAGAAATTTTGGTAAAATTCGTAATTATTGTCCATTTCAGAACCACCCAAAATCCGTGTCCCACGACACTTGAAGCAGACGTACACTCGCAAAGTTGGAGAAACTGTCAACCTTGTAGTTCCGTTTATGGTAAATTTATCAGCTACGTTAATATGCATTAGGCTTCTCTGATCGAGAAGAAGAACAATGATTCCATGCTGCTCTATGTAATAAATGCAGGGCAAACCCAGACCAAAAGTCACCTGGCTGAAGGACGGAAAACCCATCGAGCCTTCCCACGTCAGCATCCGCAACACAGAGTGTGATAGCATTATCTTTATCCGTAAAGCAGAACGCAGCCACTCTGGAAAGTATGAGATGATAGTGCAGGTTGAAAACCATAAAGACACAGCTAATATTGACATACAAATCGTAGGTGAGTAAATGTTCCTAGCTCCTAATCAGAAGATCATATCAGCTGTATTTTTAAAATCAACAGTTGTGAGGGTGCTGTTTTGCTCAGTGTCTTATGACTGGTGTTTAGATCTACCTGGACCTCCACAATGTGTGACAATTGAAGATGTCTGGGGAGAAAATGTGGCTCTGTCCTGGACTCCACCAAAAGATAGTGGCAATGCCCCGATAACAGGCTACACCATACAAAAAGCAGACAAAAAGACAATGGTAGATTGTTGATGTCAAATGTAAAGCTTCACGAGAAACATTCTGCTTGTGTTTTCCCTGAAGAATTAACTTCACCTTCTAAACTCTCCTTTTCAGGAATGGTACACATGCATCGATCACTACCATCGAAACACCATTACTGTTACAGAATTGGTGGTTGGGAATGAGTATTTCTTCAGGGTGTTCTCAGAGAATATGTGTGGACTGAGTGAAGCTGCTACCCAAACCAAAAAGAGTGCCCTCATCGTCAAAGAAGGTACAAATCTGAGTCTATAAAAGAAGGGTTTGTTCACAGTAGTTGTTATAGGTTTGTTTGGAGATTGCTATGTTTGTTAAGAGATTGCTAGGTTTGTCGTGCTAGGTTTGTTAAGGGATTGAAAAGCCTAACAGTTTTGATGAAACTGGATTGCTTCCAAAGAGAAAACCTTAGAGCAGGGGTGTCCACTTTGTTGGCTTGGGAGCTACTTTTCAAATGACCAGAACAAAGTGATCTACCTACATTGATAATATTAAATATATATTTACCCATATGAACTGAATGTACTAGCTGTTGCCATATGGCACAACATGATTCAATACTTGTATTGTTGCCAATTTAGTTCTAGAGATTAAATGCCAATCTACTCTGCTGCTGATTTGTTAGCTAACCTTTTCTTTCACAGTTGTTGATCTCAAAGGTACTGTCAGTAATGGTTTCCACCCTCAAATATACCATGGGTTGGGGGTATAACTGACAGGCTCTTAGAGGATGGTGTATTAGTCTTAGACACAGATGAATAAAAAAACATTGTCTTTCCCTCATCACAGACAAATCCCCACATGATACCGCTCAGTGTCAGTATCATGCAAAACCCCATTCCTTTACCCTTCCCCCAACAGGCATGCAGATGAAAATCCCAGAGTATAATGACCATGACTTCAAGGAGGCACCAAAGTTCACACAGCCACTCATCAACATCTGTGCCGTTGCTGGCTACAACACCACCCTCAACTGCAGTGTCCGTGCCAACCCAAGGGTGGGTGATAGAACAAAGAATAGAGAAAGTTTGAACCACACAATATATTACTGTCAATGGAGTGACTAATCTGTTGTGGTGATCTTTATGTCTGACTGCAGCCAAAAGTGATGTGGATGAAGAATAAGATCATCATCGTTGACGACCCTCGCTACCGCATATTTAGCAACCAGGGAGTATGTACTCTGGAGATTAGAAAGCCAAGTCCTTATGATGGTGGCACATACACATGCAAAGCCATCAACGACTTGGGAGAAGACCAAGTGGAGTGCAAGCTGGAGGTTAAAGGTCAGTTTTGGGCTGGGAGCCAGAGCTGCGTGACTCCCTGGGTCCCTGTGTGCATCTAGTTTCCTAAAGATCTTTTTGGTGTTGACTTTATTTTTGTGAATTTCTTATTAATCGTGTTCAGTTCTTAAGCATATTTCCTTTTTAAGGACATTGCTTAGATGTCTTTATAGATCATTTAAATTCAAAGTATAGTAAGTAAAGACAGTAAAAACAGCTTTGGCAAACCAAATCCACCAGGGTACCACAGTGTTAACTGTGTGCTACAGTCTTCAATGGGATGGCCAGATAGCCGCTGGACACGTAAGTATACGAGTTGGGTTGCACCAGCTATTCGTAATTTCGTTACTGACGTTTAGTCTCATGTCTATATTATCATCATGTCAGTTCTACTGAAAAAAAATCATGAGAACATTAAAAGGCAGACAGCAGGGTTTCAATTGACATATCATTCAATAGCATTCCCTGTTAATTATATGTATTGTTGTTTCAGTGCAGTATTTACCATTATGATTTAATGTTTCTGCAATACAAATACATGTTATATCATTGCCAAGTCTGTTGTTGGTCATCAAATAATATTTAAATATTATTTGATGTACCTTGGTTTGGTATTAAAGACTTCAAAATCAGATTTATAAGTCATATTTGGAAAATTTCTTTTAAAGCTAACGTTAGCTTTGTTAGAAGCTCAGTTATACCCAGAGCAGTAGCTCAAGTGTCTTCATGGGGAGGTATCGCTAATTACAATTAGACTTGAACTTATGAACATCTGGTGCAAAGGGATCCCGAAGCCCATTTTGTGAATTAGACACCAATAATAAACCTCTCATATGTGTGTGCAGTCTACATAATATCTGATGACACACATCCATCGGTACGATTTATAAGATCTCCCCTGTGTTTTCATACAACTCTTTTCAGCCCAGTCCATTCAGCCATTTTGTTCTGTTCATTGTCCCAACACTCCACATTCACAAACAGTCTGTCACAGGTCCCAGTAGGCATAACTTATAGAGACGTGATGTTGTGTGTTGTATTACTTCTGTGTTTCCATCTTAAACTATTGTTGGTGATTCCAGTCTGCCCTTCCTGCCACATATTTAACTCCCCATATAAAAGAAATCAGTAATACCTCAACAGTTTTCCTGGGTGTACACATATAACTCCATGTAAACATTGTGTTAACCCCTCTTCTCTTTCTCTCCTCTCTCCCCCAGTCCAAACTCAAGAATTGTGAATGTATGTTCTTTAAAAAAAGGTAAGCTTTCATATGGTTTTGGCATATGAAGCTTATGTCATTCATTATGCATCTCTCAGTCAGTTTTGGAACGCTTCTCTGTCGGTGGAAATTTTTTGTACAGTTTGCATCGTTACATTTTTTTCTAGTCTGAGAAAATGGAGAGAAGATATGTTAAAGATCTATAAATTTTCCCAGCAATTTGTTTTCTCATTTCTTTCCCAATAAACATAAACTGTCTGTTTTTAACTAAACATTTAATACATATTTGAACTGATTCCAAAGACCCCCTGTCATGTACCCCATCTGACAGAAAAGGTAAGTAAACGCTGTGTTGTGTTTGAAAAGTTCTGATGTGTGGAAAGAGCACTTTTTTCATGTTTCTACATGGAATCAATTTCATCTTGAATCTGTGAGCTAAATTTTTTTAAAAACACTCCCCTTACTATACAATTATTTTTACCATGTTCAGATTAATAAGAAAAACATACATTTAACTGGAGCTGCAGCCAGGACAGACCGAACCAGAGCGCTTTCTTTTTTTGCATGTTAAAGCTTAACTTGACACTACATCAGGAAGCAGAGGATTCCAAGACTCTGAATGTTTTACAGTTCAGGATGAGCTCTATTTTACACACTCTCGGTCCAGAGTTGTAAACATTTATACTCGCTTCTCTGCTTTGCTGGTTGTGATTATTTCTCCCCTCTCTTTCTGTCTATTCTTTCTCCTGTTGACATGTATTAATGTATATCCCAAGCATCTTATTCGAGTTTTTTTTTTCTCCTAGGGGGTTACACCTTCTTCGAACTCATGCAGCGCGGAGTGCCCCTTAATCTGATCGACAAGTACATGAATGACGCAAAGATTGTGGAGCCGGAGAAGTAAAATCAGAGAGAATGAAATAAGACGTTTTAGCTTCAAAGACTTTTTCACTAGTGATCTGAAGTCAGTGGACTGGAAGCAGATGGAGGGATGGATGACATAACAGAAGGAAGAGTGTGGGTGTTCTTCTTCCTCATAATTTTTTTTCAGCACTTGGCATCCTTATGTTGCGTTACTGCCACTTGTGGGTATGTGGGTGTGGCATGTTTTTATTAGAGGAGCAAAACAGCCAGTTTGCTTCTTTGCCACCATCTTGTTTTGCAAACACTGTGCCAGCACAGGTGCATGTGGGCGGTGGGTTTTTGTTCTAGCTTTACTCAGTTTAAGAGGTTTGTACAAAACACATACAAAGCACAACTACACAGTTACTACAGGATTTAAAGTTGAGATTTAAGTATGTGGCAGCAGAAAGAAGAAAATGGATTTGAAGACATATTGGATTATGAACGTTTTGACACTCACACTGTTTTTCTGCTTACTCAGTGTAGGGGTTTACAAACAGCCCATTGCATGATACATTTTTCTGCTTACTCAGTGTGGTTTACAAACAGCCCATTGCATGATACTTTATGATGTTTGAATTTATATTGGACTGGATGCTTGACTGAGGCTGAGGAGTTGTGGGTGCATGTCTTCACCTTTGTAATTATGAAAATATTAATAAACAGTACAATTAAAATACACTTTCCTAAAATGTCAATTCTTTGTGTGGCGTTTTCAAAAAAATTTCCAAAAATGTCAATTCTTTGTGTGGCGTTTTGCTTATCTGATTTGATATTCTGCAGATCTTTTTGCAGAAAAACAATGGAATTTCAATGTCTAAGACCACTTAAGAAAAGAGTTATATACCGTAAATTACCAAGTACAACTTTCCAAGTTCATTCCAGGGATACAATTCAATTTTTTAAATTGTTGATTAGAGGTTTTAACACTACCCCTGCCCTGTAATACACCCAAGAAACATCATGATTCATATTTAAATAACATCATCGTAAAATAACATCATAAATAATAATCATAAATAACATCATCATATTTAAATTAAAATGTAAATTTGAGAACGTGAAGAATCAGCAGTGCATAAAAAGTCTAAAACAAAAAATAGACTTATTAACTTTTTGATGCTCACCAAATTTCTTGTGAAGATGCCGTTAGGGATTGACTTTCTTGCTTTGGCATCTATGGAAGAAAAAAAGTTCATTAAATAATTTAATTATAGCTCATCTTATATTACATTTATGAAACTTAGTATATTCAAATTTGATTTTTAAGTGTTACTATTCAATATATATATATATATATAT